TCCCAGGCCCACCTAGCTGCGTGTCCATGCACTCCTTGCTCCAGCCCACCTGCCTCAAGGAGCAGGGCCCAGCTTGGCCCGGGGCAACAAAGGCACACAGCTGGTCAGTGAAAGAACCCCCAGTGGCTGGGTTAGAGGTGAGGAGCCAGGAGGAGCCCAGGGGGGCCCACAGGGAAATGCAGACAGTGAGCCACTGAACCCGGGGCCCACTCTGTTCCCACATCCCTCCCCCGACGCCTGGTTGTCTCACTCACAGCTCAAGGGAAGAACCCAGAGCCCGCTAGACACCCAGTCAAGCTTTCCAATCTTACTCTCTATTTTGGGCTACTAGACCTAGAGTCGGTTTTCTTCCCAAGGGTTCCCAAGCAAAAGCATTTCTCCAGCCTCTCCTCCAAGCCACTTCTTCCCAGACACCCACCAGGATCAGGGAGAGTGGGTCTCCACCCAGGCACATTTTCCCAGGGGCTCCAGGAAAGCAGCAGTCCCCAGCGGCCCCGCCTGGCACACAGCGAAAGGAGTGCGCTGGGGCTGCCCTCTGGTGACTTGGCAGTTTCTGAAAATGCCAAGTCAGAACTGGGGTGCTCACAAATCTGCTGATGATTCACCCCCAAAAGAGGAAGAGGCTGACTGGCTACAGACGCGCTCAGCACCCACTCACGTGGCGCGGGCGTGTGGCCCTCACTGCCCTCCCCCCCACCTGCCACGCTGCTACCACGAGGGCCACGACCACAGCCGCCACTACCACCATCGCCGGGCATCTTTGGTGCTGCGACGGCTGCCAGGGAGGTGCCAGGACCCTGCCCCAGCTGTTGCTGCCCTCACACCGCTCCCCACGGGCAACTCCATAGCTGGCCTGTCTTGGAGCCTAAGCAATGTTTTCAGGGAGGGAGAGAAGGCAGGACTGGGTCAGAGGGAAACCCTGGGACTCCCCAAGGCTGCCCCCCAACAGGAAGCTGCAAGATGGGTGATTCAGGGAAAGGACAGGCAGCTGTTACATTCTAGACCTGAATGGGGGCCTCACACAACACGCCTGTCGGCAGCATCTCCTCCCATTCCTTAACAGAAGAGGAATCTGAGCCCCAGGAGGCATCGATACGCCTACAGTCACACGGCTCCATGGGGCTCACTCCATCAGGTCAGACTCCACACACCCAGCTCGGCTTCCGGGGTGGCCCTTCCTCCTCACCCCCAACCAGCCCCCTCTGGTCAGGTCTCATTAGGGCAACCCCCGGGCCTCGCCTGAGGAGTCATACCGCCATCCAGAGGGAAAAGCAGCAGGGCTAACGGACATGGGAACAAACTGCAAGGACAAGAGAAGCAGGAAGAACATGGCAGGCGGGGGGAGAGGGGCGTGCAGAGGGGAAAGGAGCCAGGGGTCTGTAGATAACTGAGCAGAGGGGGGCAGGCTGGTTCCCCAGGAGGACAGGAACCCACAGGTGGGGAATCCAGGCAGGCATGAGGAGCAGCCCAGCTGGGCACCCGCTCACCCTTCCTTGGAGACCCCCAGTGCTGGGCTTGGCATTGCTCAGGCTGCGGTAACCTATGCCCCTCTTACAAGGCAGAAACCCCACCTCCATTCCTCCTCTATCCAGATAGTAGTTGGTAAGCTTCAGGGCAATGAGCAAATCTAGTTATTTTTAGTTAGTCCATTTAGGGCTCTTTTGGCAGAGTTTAGTTACCAATAAGCTCATCCTAATGTAGAAGCATTATCCTCACATGTACTTTTTTCCCAGAGTGCTTTCCCACACATATTATTTCATGGAGCTGTGTAACCCTGGGTAAGCTATTTATTTACACTAAGCCTCAGTTTAAGCCTGACCTGTAAAACGGACACAGGAATAATGCCTAACTAATTAAGGATTAAATGAGATGACAGAAGCAGTTTGCTTAACAGGGTGCCTGACACATAGAAAGCGTTTAAAAAAAGAAAGGTGAGCAAATAGAAAAAAATATGTTTCCTCTTCTCACCAACTCTACAACACAGAGAGGTTAACATCATGCCCGAAGATGCAGAGCGCGCACAGAGCATTGGTAGGCACGGGACCTCCACCAGCGCGCGGGCGTTCTCGACACCAGTGTTAGCCTCCTCTGCCCTGCTGAAGGCACAGAAAGGGAGGCTGGCGGGGTTGAACCGACCTTGGCCCAGCAGCCACAGCAGAAGGGTGGTACAGAGACACCGACGTGGTGGAAAGAAAACGTCAGCTCCCCCCAGACCCCTAGAGCGGTCCTGAGTCCCCGCTGAGGACTCTGCCGGGGCTGGGCTCCACCCTGGAAGGAGGCAGCCGGGCTTCCCCGGGAAACCCAGCCCTCCTTTCCACTGACTCCTTCTCCGCGCTTACCCAGCCTCCAGGAAAGGGGCGCGGATCCCCCCAAACAAGTACGTGTGTGTTTGGGTGTCTTCACGCCTGGCCGCCCATAAGAGGTGGTGAGGGCAGCGGGCGCGCAGGGGCGCTGTCACCGAGGCACAGGGTGGAGAGTGGACGGGCTCACCCGGGGGGCGCGGGGCTGGTGAAAACTGCAGAGGCGGAACATCGGGGCCCCGGGCCTGGGGCGGGCATCGGGTCCCCGAGGCCCCCGAGGGGTGTCCAGGAGCCCGGGCCCACGCGGGGCCTGCTCTGCCCACGGACGTTATTGGGTAAACACGCCACCCACTCCCCGGGGAAGCGCCGCCCGGGAGGAGCTTCCCGGAGCAGCCGCCGGCGCCTCCCCGCAGCCGGGCGCCCGAGCCGCGGGAGCCGGACCCCAGCGCCCCCCGCGCGCCCCGGGGTACCTGCGAGCCCCCCCATGGCCGCGGTGCCCGGCTGTCTGTAGACCACCGTCCAGACGAGGAAGATGGAGAAGCCGGCCACGGAGCTGAGACCCGAGTAAGCGGCGCGAAGGCCGAGCTGCAGGCGGGACGGGGCCATGGGGCTGCGGGCTGCGGACGCCGGGCGCGGAGGGCGAGCGCGGCCGCTGGTCACAGGTGCAGGGCCCGGAGCCGGAGCGGGGAGCCGGGAGCTGAGCCGGAGCCGCCGGCCGCCCGCGCTCCGCCCCCGGCCCGCCCCCCGCGCCGCCGGCACAGCGCCCTCCCCGGCCGGAGGCCGCCCGCGCCCGGAACCACCGCGGCTAGCGCGGCCTGGGCTTGCCTGCAGTCTGCGGCCCGGATCTCTTGGGGATGCCGCCTAAAAGGGCAGGTTCCGGGGCCCGTCGTCCGAGCTACCGTATCAGGATATTTAGGCCTCGGCGGGGCCCGGAAACACTCAGCTCTGCAAACCAGCCGCGGTGTTTGCTTTTAACATTTATCACGTTCCCGTTTAAAATTTAAGATGTAAATTTCTCTTTAAAAATCAATTATAAAAAATTAAGATATAGGAAATTACACAGCGAATATGATTGCTTTCGCGCCTATCCATCCATCAGGTTCCCTCCTCAGGCGTTAAGCAAGTCTCAGCAGATGCTTCTCTTGGAACCCTTCTCGTCTTCTGACCTCAGACTCCCTCCCTTCAAGGACAGCTCCTTTTTTTTTTTATCTCCACAAGCGTACCCCTCCCACCCCAACTCTACCCGAACGCCACTGCCATCAGAGTCAGACAAAGCCAAGGAAGAGACTAGAATCTGTAGCAGGTGTATCCTGAGCTTGGCTGCGGGTCCAGCGCCATGCTGGGAGCCCGCAGAGAAGATAAAAATGTAGCACACGGAGCCCTCAAACGCTTACAATATAGTGGAGGAGGCTCATCTCATACTGGCACGAAGAAAGTATGCAATATACCTTGTATTTATTTCTTTTCCCTGCTGTAGCAAACTACCACAGATCTAGTGGCTTCAAATAACATACATTTATTGTCTCACAGTTCTGTAGGTCAGGTGTCCAAAAATGGAACTCAGAGGGCTAAAATCTAGGGGAGGGCAGGGCAGCCTCCCTTTGGGAGGCATGAGGGGAAAAGCTGTTTCCTTGCATTTTCAGCTTCTAAAGCTGTCCACATCCCTTGACTCTTGAGTGTCCTCGAAGCCAACTCCTTCATCTTCAAAGCCAACAATCACACCACCCTGACCTCTGCTTCTGTCATTACATCATCTTTTCTCTCTCACTAACTCTGTGCCTCCTTCTTTTCCCTTATAAGGACCCTTGTGATTAAGAACCTGGATAATCCAAAGTAATTTCCCCATTAAAATCCTTAATTTAATCACACCAGCAAAACCCCTTTGGCATGTGAAGTAATAAATTCACAAATTCTGGGGATCAGGACACTGATATCTTGGTGGCCCATTATTCAGCTATCACATCTCTCTGGAATGTCCTCTCCATGTACAGCAACTGTGCCTCTTTTATTCACACCAACACATAAAACAGTTTCCAGCACATCAAATCCCCTTGGTAAACATTTGTTGAATGGATGAATGTGAGTGAATGAAGGTAAGAATTAAATAACAATAAAGGAGATCATATCTAGTTAGGACATGATTAGTTGCCAAGTGAATGATGTAAACCACATTTGCCTCACTTTTTTTTTTTTTTTTTTTGGCTGCCCTGGATCTTCATTGCTTTTGCACAGGCTTTCTCTAGTTGCAGCAAGTGGGAGCTACTCTTCCTTGGGGTGCAGGGGCTTCTCATTGCGGTGGCTTCTCTTGTGGAGCACAAGAGAAGGCTCTAGTGTGCCAGCTCAGTAGTTGTGGCCGGGGCTTAGTTGCTCTGAGGCATGTGCAGTCTTCCTGAGACTAGGGATCTAACCTGAGTCACCTGCATTGGTAGGCAGATTCTTATCCTCTGAGCTACAAGGGAAGTATTTGCTTCACTTCTGAATAGTCTGGGAAGCTTCCTTAAAAAAAAAAAAAGACCCCAGAATCCACCCCTGCCTTATTAAGTTTGAATCTTGTAAGTATATATATATTTTAAATGAGAAGCGATTTTAATTTGGTGATCTCAGTATCCACCCCTCCTTTGGGAGCTACTGATGGAGGGAGTTACTGCTGGCTGGTCCAAGGAGGGAGCAGGCCCTGTGGTCCAGAGTACACTGCCGTGGATGACTTCAGAGCTGGCCTGCGGGGTTACACTCCACGCAGTGGGAGCAGCCTGGGTGACAGCCCAGAAGGAAGAAATAACGTGGCAGGTTTGGGAAACTGTAAGTAGTTTGTGGTCTGTGGGTGGTGTAAAGGGTTTTGAGGTTGGAATTATTCTGAATGAAAATGGCCTTGCTTGCTCTTCTTAGAAGGTTTCCCCTTCTCTGTGGAGCCAGGGGAGGGAAGTAACAGTTCTGTGTTTAAGAAATGTGGCCAGGGTAATAGTGTGAGGGTGAACTTCCTTTGAAAAGACCAGAAAGCAGAGAGGCCATTCAAATCCTTCATCTCCCTATGCTTTAGTTGTCCCATCTGTAAAATGGAGACAGCTGTGTTGTTTGCTTCAACGTATTTTGTGAGGAGTCAGTGCTTAGAAGAGTGACTAGTATGCAGTAGGTGCTTCGTAAACATCAGCGAGTATGGTTAGTAGCAGTGGAAAGGCTGTGAGGGCAAGAGATGATGAGGGGAGAATGGAAGGTGGTTCGGGCTGAGTCAGCGAGAATGGGGAAGAGGGAACCGATTCAAGAAATATTTATGCTATTTGAACCTTAAGGTCAGGTAGCAATTAACTAGCTGGGCAGATAGAAAGGAGGAGAGCAAAAATATTTATGAATGCACATGTCAGGACTATTGGAAAGGAGTGAACAAACTTGTTACACTGGAGAGTGAGGTTGTGCAAGAAAATAACGAGAGATAATTATGTAACAGTAGCTTGGGCCTAGGATATAACACAAGAAGATTAAGAGCAGGCTGAAACTTTGGCTTAACTGTGAAAGCAATAAGGAGCTGTTGAAGAATTTCATGCTCAGATGCGGTTACCACTTACTATGTCACATGAGTAGGTTTCCCCTAACTCAGGAGAACTTTCTGCCCAGAAGAAAACAATTTTCTATATCTGCCCTCTCTGCACTGGTAGCTACTGGTCACATGTGGCTGTTGAGTATTTGATATGTACCTAATATGACTGAAGAACTAAGTTTTTAATTGATTTTAATCTAAATGGCTACACATGGCTTGTTGTTGTTCAGTTGCTCAGTTGTGTCTAACTCTTTGTGACCCCATGGATTGCAGCACGCCAGGCCTCCCTGTCCTTCACTATCTTCCTAGAGTTTGCTCAAACTCATGTCCCTTCAGTCGGTGATGCCATCCAACCATCTCATCCCCCCCTGTCACCCCCTTCTCCTCCTGCCCTCAATCTTTCCCAGCATCAGGGATTTTCCAATGAGTCAGCTCTTCACATCAGATGGCCAAAGTATTGGAGCTTCAGCATCAGTCCTTCCAATGAATATTTAGGTTTGATTTCCTTTAGGATTGACTGGCTTGATCTCCTTGCAGTCTAAGGGACTCCCAAGAGTCTTCTCCAGCACCACAATTCAAAGGCATCAATTCTTTGGTGCTCAGTCTTCTTTACGGTCCAACTCTCACATCCGCACATGACTGCTGGAAAAACCATAGCTTTGACTATGCAGCTTTTTATTTTTTTTTCCTATGCAGCTTTTTAATATGCTGTCTAGGTTAATATACTGTCTAGGTTTGTCATAGCTTTTCTTTCAAGGACCAAGCATCTTTTAATTTCATGGCTGCAGTTACCATCTGAAGTGATTTGGGAGCCCAAAAAATAAAATCTGCCACTGTTTCCACTTTTCCTCCATCTATTTGCCATGAAGGGATGGGACCAGATGCCTAGTGGCGAGTGGCTACACATGGCTAGTGGCTGCCATATTAGACAGCACATTAGACAGTACAGGAATCTCTCAGAGTCTCTGCTGCTCTATCTGCAGGGTGGGAATGATGTGTAATCGGCTTGTTACAGCAACTGAGAAATACTGAGATGCCGAAGTTAAAGCACTCAACGCGATAATCTGACAAATTATTATTGCCATTTTTAAAATTCTTGTTATTGTTATTACTGAACATGGATAGCACAACAAAAACCATGTCTTAGGAAAGATTATTTAGACTTTAGTATCCAAGTTAGGTTTGATGGGAAAAGAAAATTGTAGAGGGGAAAGCATTCACAATGCTATTTTAACGATATGATGTGGGATAAAGATCTTATCTGGGGACTTTCCTGGTGGTCATTTAGACTCTGAGCTCCCAATGTAGGGGGCCTGGGTTCGATCCCTGATCAGGGAACTAGATCCTGTATGCCACAATTAAAAGATCCTGCACACCGCAACAAAGATTGAAGATCCTATATCCACAACTAAGACCTGGAGCAGCCAAATTAAAAAAAAAAAGAAAAAAAAGATCTTACCTGGAGAAAGGCCAGGAGAAGGGAAAGGCATGAGAGGATTATGAAGCTGCAAAGCACACAGGTGTGCATCACACATGCTCTTCTCCCCACATCAGCTTCCTTTCCTTTCAGAGAGCGAGCTCTCATTGCAATCCTAACCCAAGAAAACACCACTCCCCTCACCCAACATCCCTAAGAGAGGCAGCCACTCTCCCTGCCTGCGGCAGAGACCAGCAGTGCTTACCAAGAGCATCTCTTTTTCTGGCCCATGACCTACTGAATTGGAACTTTGAACACTTCCCAACTTCCTTGCAGTTAAGGTGATCCTATCAGAGATGGTTCTGAGCATTGGAATCAAAGCAGAAGCAATGTGCCCCATTTCCAGGCTGGACCCGTACAGTCTCCTGTGCACCATGCATTCCCTCCTCTCATTCTGTGATGATTTTAGAAGCCACATGTTGAAGACAGCTGTGCCACATGATAGAAAGAGCCTGGGACCCTTAAATGAATGAATGAACAGAACTACCCACTCCATTCCCCCAGACCCTCCCTGGACTGTGAATGAAAAACACTTTTTTGTGTGTGTGCACTAAGTCACTGAGATTTCGGGCTTGTTACAATTAACCTCATTACCCTAATTTACCTTCCCTCATTCCATTTCAGGTCATGTAAACATCTCTTACATGGATAACCTCTGATGTCACTTTTAAATTGGACCACATCAATATTAAGAGACTCCTGACTCCCACCCACAGGGCATCTTGTCTCCTAAGACATTTCTTTCTCACTCCTCCTAAGCAGGCACATTCCAGACATAGATCTCCTCCCACAATGTCGACTCACTGGAAAAGACCCTGATGCTGAGAAAGATTGAGGGCAGGAAGAGAAGAGGGTGACAGAGGATGAGATGGTTGGATGGCATCATTGACTTGATGGACACAAATCTGAGCAAACTCCGGGAGGCAGTAAAGGATAGGGGAGCCTGGCATGCTGCAGTCTGTGGGGTAGCAAAGAGCTGGACACGATTGAATGATTGAACAACAATAGCACAATGCTAGGAGCTATACGCCAGTTGATTGAGTTTATTGGATGTGTCGGGGCTTCCTCCTCACTGCTTCTTAATCCCCACACAGAGGGAACTCTGATATCCTTTGGGATATATCCTTATTCACTATGGCTTCACCCCATGTCCAATTCATTAGCAAGCACAGTTGGGTCTGCCCTCTCTTTCCTCTCTGTTCCCATGCCTAGTCGGAGCACCATCGTCACTACCTGCCCTTCTGCAGCAGCTCCCTAACCTGTCTTCCTTCCTCTGCTCCTTCTTGCCCCTCCACTCTGCAGCCAGCAGCTGGAATGGTCTTTTAGAGATAACAACCAGAATACAGCTCTCCCCTGCTTAAATCCCTCAATATTTTCCATAGCAATTCGGGTAAGCAAATCAGAGCCTTGCCGACTCCAACCAGTCTCACCTCTGCCCATTTCGGTTCAGGTACACTGGCCTTCTTTCTGTTTCTTGAATGTGCCGAGGTTGTTCCTGCTCTGGGGTGTTAGTAGCTTTGTGTCTAGAAAGCTCTTCTCTCTCTCTTTTTTTTTTTTTGGCCATGTGTTGTGGCAGGCGGGATGAAGTGAAAAGTAGTGAAAGTGTAAGTCACTCAGTTGTGTCTGACTCTTGTGACCCCATGAATTATAGACCGCCAGGTTCCACCATGGGATTCTCCAAGCAAGAATACTGGGGTGAGTTGCCATTCCCTTCTCTGGGGTATCTTCCTGACCCAGGGATCAAACCTGGGTCTCCTACATTGCAGGCAGATTCTGTACCGTCTGAGCCACCAGAAAAGCCCAGCGAGCAGGATGCGGGATCCTAGTCCTTGACCAGGGATCTAACCCACGCCCCCAGCAGTGGTAGTGTGGAGTCCTAACTACTGGACTGCCAGGGAAGTCCTGGAAAACTCTTCTCTGAGTGCTTATAAGATTGATCATTCATCATTCAAGCCTCAGGTCACATGTTAATTCATCAGAGAGGCAATCCTGTCCTTGTTCTCTAAAGTACAGCCCCTACTCGGAGAAGGCAATGGCACCCCTCTCCAGTACTCTTGCCTGGAAAATCCCATGGACGGAGGAGCCTGGTAGGCTGCAGTCCATGGGGTCGAGAAGAGTCGGACACGACTGAGCGACTTCACTTTCACTTTTCACTTTCATGCATTGGCGAAGGAAATGGCAACCCACTCCAGTGTTCTTGCCTGGAGAATCCCAGGGACGGGGGAGCCTGGTGGGCTGCCGTCTATGGGGTCACACAGAGTCAGACATGACTGAAGTGACTTAGCAGCGGCAGCACAGCCCCCTACTCTGTCTTACACGTTGTGATAAGTGACATCTTATCACTACATGAAACTGTCTTATGTGTTTGCTTAATCTTTTCACCCTCACCCTTGCCATCCCATTGAGTATAAATCTCCGTGAGGGCAGGGGCTTTATCTGTTAGTGATCAGCTCCTCTAGGTTTGTCTGGGACTGTGCTGATTTTACCATCACAGGTCCAACATTTCAAGAAATTCCTGAGTCTATGAAAAACTCTCATGGTTAGTGGTCTTATTGCCTGCCTTGATCACTTCTGTATTCCCGGTTCCTAGTCTAATGCCAGGGGCTTAGGTAGGAACTCAATACATATTTGTTTTATAAACAAACGAAAGAATGGCCAGATGTCTGTGAAGAATTCTTTAATCCTGGCTCTAGGGGGCAGCATTCTCTAATCTTGTGCCTTGAGACCCAGCTGTGCCAAGACTGGGCTAAGAATCTCCTGTGCATGTATTTAGGTGGCAAATTCCACAAG